TGTAATCGTCATACGACACCTGACATTTCTGCATGCCAACCTTCCACATGTTAAACGGCAGCTTTATGCTTCTACCGGCATTTCACAGTTCCCAAAACACATCCTTCGTCAAATGGGAGGTTTCCTTTCCGTACATCGGCTTCAAATTCAATGGCAGGTGCCTGTCGGGTTCCTTGCACATGGCAATGGCATTGGTCTCCAGCTTCTGGTGCACCAATAATGACTGTTCACTTTCAGAGAGTATAGAGATAACCACGACAGAATTTGAAAGAGCCACTGTGGACATGGGCGAAAAGATATGACTAAAAATTTTTAATTACGCCTACACCAGAAAATTAAAAGTTTAGCTTGTTTACCAGCCACCTTGCAGCGAAAGCGGCGCAGTTCCCTTCGTCAAAAAGGACGACCAATACGGCATCCTCAACGTTCACATGGACATACCATCACTGCAGGTCGTTCGTACAAGGATCTAAAATCCAAGCAGTCATTTCACCGCAACCAAGAATAAGAGTCAGTTTCCCACATAAAAAGTTACACATTATCTCAAAATGCAGCTAAAATGATACCACACCAATCTTATGGGTTAGGACCAAACCTACAAGGACAGGCTACAAATTACAACACAGCTGATTTGCCTGCTACAGAAACCAAACTAAATAAATCCCTCGCCGTACAACCGTCACTTCCTCACCACATCAAACTATTAGGTTACTGAGCACAAGCACAACATGATTCCTAAGACTGAGCAAACAAAAATGCTCGACCCGGAAGTCTATCTACGAGTAATACACCGGATAAAACGCAAACAATAAGTAACAAAACGATACTATTAATGAACCAGGCATTGAGTACCTTCATTCGCTAATGCACGGCATGCTGGTTACGAAAAGCAGTCGTACCATAACCGCAATAAAACAACTGAAAGGTGAACATGCACTTCGTTATTCCAGCTTAGAGACTACAGTTCCATGTAAATTTTATCCGCAGGTACAACTCAAATAGCGCATAATACTTACTCAATGTAAGGTGGCGCGAAATAGTTGACCTCAAGATCCAGCAAGAGCATCGTGGTTA